GAAAAATCCAAACTTTGTTCAATATGAAATTTAGGGTTAGAGTTCCAATCATTTAAACTTTTAAAGATTAGAACTTTAACACATTAGGAACTTAAAATTACACATTCACATCAAACATTCACACATTCTTGCAATTAATTTGCAAAATTTGTGAAAAACAAGTTTATGTGAAAAAGGCATATCAACTCAAGCACTAATTAAAACTCCATAACTATGCTTAAGGATATTTAAAAAATAGCAGTAGATTAGGGATGGAATAATGCATTTAATCTAACCTTGTAATGCTTGCATCAATCAAGGCATAAAAAGATTTAAAATTTTCGTTGAAAAACGAAAAAAACCCCAAGAACTTGGGTTTCTAGTTCGAATTTGGCTTCTGGACAGTATTTGAAAAGGGTTGAATCTGTTTTAGAATGTCGATTCCACCCAAAAACCACTATTTTTGAGCCAAAATCTGGGTTCGACAGCCAAATCGATAAAAAATACGAGTTTTAAAATTAATTAAAACGAGCTTCTAATCTAATTAGAAAAGCAACACCAGAAATTAAATCTTACTTTAAAACACCTTAATTAATCAATAATTGCAAAAATTAAAAGGAGCGTGGCTCCGATACCGCTGTAGGGTTTCATAGTGACCCTCACTACGCGGAAAGAAACCCGCCAAGACTCGCCCCCATAATAAATGCAATTAACAAGCAAAACATAATTAAAACATAATTAAGGATAAAAGATTATACCTTTGACGCGTGCTTCGCTCTACTATGAGCTCTTACTTGAACCAGAAAATACGAGGTCTCCAACGGGATCGTACCCTCGAACCCGACCCGAGCGTCCTAAGTCTCGAAAGTTAGTCGAGACCCGGACAAATAAAACTATGAGTTTTACGAATCAAGGTTTACTCAAATCAAGAGTTGCCTTTTAATTGCACTCAAGGTTGTGTATTCCCAAATGCCCAAGCCTTTGCTATTTATAGGGAAATGCACACTTGATTTCCAATCTCCCACTAATGTGGGAGAGTTGGTAAAATCAATACTTTATTTAATTCCAAATTAAATAAATAATTAAGTTAATCACATTGCGACAAGTGGACCAATCACATGCTAATGAGTGATGGCCAAGGTTAGGTGGGGGGGACCATTTGCCTTGCCCCCCCCAAAGCCCCTTGTTTGGTCCCCACCAGCAAGCACATAACCGACACATGGACTGCTAGGCTGGCAGCCAGCTAGCGTGCGAGCCAGCTAGCACTCCCTTGCTGCCCAGCATCCCTATCGCATGCACACACGCACAAGCCCACACATCATCGCTGTTGCTGCTTGCTAGCCAGCACGCACTAGCACTTGTACACGCACTAGCACAGGGCATTGCCAGGCATGCTGCTGTGCGAGGCTGCTGCTGTGAGAATGCGAGGCACACACGCACACGCACATACGCCAGTGCCCAGCACTGCGATGGCTGTGCTTGGTGCGTGTGGCCTGCCATGGCCTACGATGGCCCTAGGCACATGCACATGCGCACACACGCATAAGCCTAGCCATGCGATAGTGCTATTCATGGTGCGTGTGGCCTGCGATGGTGCTGCCATGTGCGCCTAGGCATGGTGCTAAGGCTGCGATGGCGCCTAGGCACCCTTGGCACGCATGGTGCGCCTAGCACACCATGGTGCGTCTAGGCCTATGTTGACCCAGCCTAGCCTAGCAGCCCACATGGCTTGGCCAGTGTGGTGTTACGGCTGTGCTTATACTTGTCGCTTGTGATTTTGCGACGCTCGGCCTCGACGCCCTAGGCTCGATATCCGACGTCTGTATTTGTAAAACTCAGTCGACTCATTAAATCCTTTCGGATTAATTCGTCGTCTCGGATCGGTTATTCGATTGCGTTCGACCCGAAGGGTTCAGTTAAGATTAAGCTGTAATATTAATTATACCTTAATATTACTGATCGGAAGCGGCCTCCACCTAGGAATTCCGATCACTTGACCTTACTGAAGAATTAGCTCTGTAATAATTCTGAACCCTCTATCAGAATAATACACTTGTTGGAAAGACACCATTCCTTTCACACCATACAATACTGCTACCCACCCCGTCACCGCCCAATTTGGGTGAAAACCACCTCAAAAGCCCAAAACCCCAACCAATTGCAATACTAGTAAAACCTAAACCCCTACAATTTTAAATTTCTTTTATACGAAAGTGAAAAAATCCTAAATTGAAATCTGGGTTTATTTTAGAACTATTTGTTGATTTTTTTTATTGATTGATTGAATAAAGTGGGTGATTGCTTGCTGGAGTAGTTTCATTATTGTTGGTGCTGGGAAGTTGATGTTAGTGAATTATGTTGGTTGGTTATGCAAGGAAAAGTGGATGTGGATTGGTGGTGCAAGGAAGTGTCGTTGGTAGTGGTGGTGCATGCTCTATGCTCATGGTAATGGTCGGTGCAGGATTTGGCGAGGTGGTGTGGGTGATGTGTTGGTGACTTGATTGTTGGGTGGGGGTTGGTCACAGTCATGGCCGTGGTTGTGGTTGTGGTTGTGGGTGGATTATGTTGGTTGATAATGGTGGGAGTAGTTTTTGTTTGTTCCTTATCTGGGCGGAGGAAGTACGGCATGGTGGATGTTAATAGTGACCATGGAAGTGGTGGTGGTGGATGGGGTTAATGGTGGCCATGAAAGGTGACAGGAGATATGGGAACAAGAAGGAGAAAGAAGAAAGGAGTTTTTTTTTTTTTAATTAATAGAATTAAAAGATTAAAATTAAAATTTTAACCAATACGGAGCTGACACGTGGATTGGCAACGGTTGGATGGGTAGGGTGACTTGTTAGGGTTGCTAGGAGAAAATGGGTAATAAAGGTTGGATTATTCCCGAATAATCCAAAGGTAGGATTATTTTGAGAGAATGGAGCAAAGGTTGGATTATTCTTGTTAAATTTTCCTACATTATATCTAATAGAATATATACGAGATTATTAACGTAATCAATCTCTATCAAATTTGTCCAGATACTATTCATAAGATTTATCTCAAACTTTTTAAAAAGTGAGAATAATTGTCAGGTAATAATTGAAATAAACCTCGGTCTTGCATGACTTTTTATCCATGAATCGATCTTTTTATTAAAAAAATAAATAAATAAATAAATATTTAGTAATGGTTTTAATTAAATTTGTATGTATACCATTATTTTAAATTTTCAATCAGCAATGACGTTTGATTAGATTTGCAATTTGTAACGCAACTTAAATTTAGCTAATGCGTATGGATAATTGGTAATGTCAAGCCATATTGTGATAACTTTTAGAGGATAATACTTGGATGGTGATGAGTGCCATTTATAGCACTCATATGGTAGATTTCTTCGTAGTTTTATGCATGTTTTTAGCCTTTTATGTCGTGTTCTTAGGTAATAATGCTTGCTTTGCGTGCTTATTTGTGAATTTAGAGAAATGTGTGCTTTTAATGGTTTTCCTATCATTTTACGCATTTCTTGGTTATTCTCTCGCTTTCCGTTTTTTTTTGACTTGTTTTGTAGGTGTGGCGGGATTTTTTGAGGCTCAAATATCGAGGAGGAAACCTAACACGAGCATTGGAAGTTAGAAAAACCGAGTCCGGAAAGTTAAAGCATAAGAATCAAGTTAGAAGCCAAGCAGCCCCTCGCACAAGTGCATCGCACCAAGCACGAGCAGCAGCAGCATAAACGCAAGCACACGCGCAGCAATCATTAGCTACCGCAGCGCGATGGAGATGTCGTGGCGTGGCATGTGTTGCCGTGGCGCGGAGGACGCTGCCGTGTCGCGGCAGACTTCGGTGTGGCGCGGTAGTTTGCATCTTGGCAAGGGCGCGCGAGCAAGTTCAACAAAGCCGAAAAGAGGCAGAATGAAGCCGCGTCTGCACCGCGACCAGATCGCGAGCGCGACCCTGCTGCCCTGTTACCAGATCTAGTTTCCCGCGAGCGTGGCTCTGCGTGTTTCAACTTTCTTTTATTCGATTTTTCTCTTCTTTTGGGGAAACTATAAAAGGGGGCCGAGCCTCCCATTTTAAAAGAACCTTTTTCCATATTTCATTTACTAGCTTAGGTTGAGAGTTTCTCTTTCTCTGGTTTAGGGTTAGTTTTAGGAGTAGTTTTAGAGGGAGAAAGTGAGGGATTTCAATGGTGATTTGAGAGATTCAAAATGCAAGGGTGACAATTGTATTGAAGATCTTCTCCAATCAATGAGCATTTTTTACTCTATCTCTTCTTATTGCTTTGTTTAATTTCATGTTTGTTTGATTTGGTTTTGATGACTGATTCTTGATTAGTGTAGTTGCTCCTCAATATTTGTTGATGCTTGATTTCATTTACATGTTTGTTTGGATTAGATGATGATTGTTAGTGAGTAGTTATTTTGCTAGGGTTTGGGTGAAGCTTGTATGATTGATTGTTGAGATTGATTTTGGAATTCGAGTAGTCTTGTGTTGTAATTAAATTGATTGATAGAGGTTTGCATGTTGTCTAGTTTGATTGGAGTAGCTAACCATGATGCTAAACTTGATTGCATGATTGAATTGATTGACATGACCACTTGATATTCGTTTGATCATAATTGGTTGAGAATTTGATTATGTTTCTTCTTATTATTTAGCACTATAGAAATCTAGGTTAGAGAGTATGAGGATGATTAATTGAATGCTCCTAATTGCTCCTACTATTTGTCTTTACATTGCTTGCATTGCTTGATCCCCTAATTAGCTTGATTATCATGAATGCATGTTGATCCCCATTCCCTAGTGTTTCATTTGTTTGCTTCTTTGTTTTGGTAGTTGAATAATGTTACCTTTCACCTTTGACTTCGACCTAGCTTAGGCATTTATTGAAAGCGCTTGAACATAACCATTCCTAGTGGTTCGACCATAGACTTACCTCTATACTTGTATTTAGGTTTGTTAAGTGATTATAAATATTGTTTGGCTTTAGGGAGGATTAGTGGACGACCTAGTTTTTCCTAGGTCAGATGGTTTTACAATGTATTACAATGCTTTATATTTTATAGCATTTAGTTTTTGTAGACGGACATATTCTATGATTAACAAGCATTACACAGGCACACTACATAACATAGAGCTTGATCAGTGTCAAAACAATCCAAGGTAAACTACATAGCCAACCCCAGAGTATACAAACATCGACCATAAAAATTGTGCTTAGCAATATTTACCAGTCGCAGATAGCTATGCAACAAACAAATAAGACTTATTCTCACTCTGCACAGACTCCAGAAATAGATGCATTTCATTTATATGGTTGATAAGTTGATATTAATCATGATGGTGATGGCGTCGACCAGAAGTATACGCTGTAAGTGCTGACCCAGTAACAGTCACCGAGTGCTTTGCTAAGGAGGCACCTTTCTTAATTACCAGCCAGAGAGTCCAAAAGAATCCAATCCATCCTGTCGGACATAACATAATAAGATCAGCTGATAAATTCAAGTATTCAACAGCCAACTTATCTATATGGTGCAGATGTACTAAAGAAAGGATGTCAAATGCAGTCTGAAAAAACAAGTTAAATTACAGGAACGACTTCATGCCAATCAATGGCGAGAGAAGGAAAATTGGCCTTGCTTCAGCAGACAGAAAAAACTGGATATCAATGGGTAAATTTCATAAATTGAATGCCAGAAGCAGTACACTCAATCGCTCATTGAACCAAAGGTCTAAACAACTACTACAAACAGAAAAGTTGACTAAAAAGGACTAGGGAAACAAGATGACTGTTTAACCTTAATCCAATAGTGATGCAAAACTAAACAAGAAACACAACCAACAAAAGTTAGTCCATAAGGCAAATCAAACTCCAGTGTTTGATGAGCTAAATATATTTCATTTTTCAGACAGCTCAAAGGATTTTATAATAAATGCCAATCACTAGTTCTAGCAATGGCTACTAAAATTAGCTAAGAACTAAATTTTAAATATTGGTTATGAACAGCCAGCAGAGAGTCGATTCTAATATGACAAATCTTAGCTATGATAGATTGAATAGGATGTGCATCTAATTTCCAGACTACCTCTAAAAACATCTGATGACAATTTCTTAATTTCTTTCCCACATCTTCTCTCTTCAGCCTTTTTCCGAAACCTTTCCGGTTTCTCCACTTACTTTTCAGCTCCAAAATTTCTCATGGAAAATCTCACTGAAATACACTTGCGCGTCTTTGATTGAATCTCCACTAAAAGAAAACTTATGTGACAGATGACAATACCTAATTATTACAAATCCTACACCGTCATATTAAGATCCTGATTGTCCCTAAATGATCAATTATGCATGGTTGACTTTTTTAAAATATAGAGAAAATTTTGTGATGCCAAATTGTCGAGGGCCTCCTTGCACATTTTCCATATATAAAAATTTGGGCTATTCTGCAGCTTCAACTACTTCTAATGGACATTTATAAAAATCTCCTACTTTTTACAATTGATAAACATGAAAACACATGAACCCTGGGTTGAGGCAACTGCTAGACTGCTAGTTTAATATCTAATACCATCACTGTCTCAAGACTCTCAACTGAGCATAAACTTAAGATTTCCATGTCATAGAAAGAGAACTTACATCCATACCACCCACTATATCAGCAATTAAGCTCACTTGTTAAAATCAAAATATTGTAAAACGACAAGTGATATATTACAAAAATTCCTACAATGTATAAAAAAGCTCAAGGTGCACCAACCCACTATGGACTTCCCTGTGCCTAAGGCACCCCTCAGTGCGCTTCAGTGCACCTCGTTGTAGTGAGGCGCATATAATAAAACATAATTTTTTTTAAAAATAACTGTTGTGCGCCTCAGGGGTATGCCTCAATGCGCTTTAAGATGCGCCTCAGTTGAACCTCATCAAGATCGCCTCGCCCAGAACACAATAAGCACTTGCTCCCTAACACCTACTTTCTTTTATAATTGTAACACTCCTTTAATAAAAACGGAAACAGTTTAATTAATGTTGGTCCAGATGTGGACATATATTCCTCTAGATTATTCCTCAATAAGTGTAACTATTCAGAAATTCTAATGTTACTAAGGTTTTCCTTTAGGCTAGATATTCCAATATCAATGCTCTTTCTAAAGGCTAAAGCCAAAGTTGATAATTCCATGAGATGTTTTAGATTTATATTCAGCTAGTTAGTGAGCAATTTTTAAAATCACTTTACACCATCTTCATTGATTAAATAATGCTTGATTATTCTAAAAAAGTATGATTACTTATTTCAACTAAATAGTTGAACCAAGTAGCTCTGCTTTATTCCATTCTCTCTAATCCATCCACAAATACTTCCTCCACACCATTAAACTTGCTACATTAAAATTTTGGCACTACTCAAACTCTCCTACACCATACTGTGATTTACGCGGATAAATAAATATAGTTAGGTAAGATCTTGTTTGATTCACCTCTATTTTTAATTTTATTAAAATTTAAATTTTATAATTTTTAACAAACTGCAACCAAAGATATTAGTAATTTAAAGGAAAAATTGAAACTAATAATCCCATGTTTGGCTCATCTTCTAAAAATAATCCCACCTTTTGAAATTCTGGAAATAATCCCACCTTATTACCCCATCTTCTCAAAACAAACCTTTCTTACCTACAACCGGTTCAGCAGGTAATTTTTTTTTATTTTTATTTTCTTTAATCTCTCTCTTCCCACCTTATCACCTTCTTTCATGGCAACTCCTCCATCAGCACCATGGATACCACCCCTCCCTCACCCCCACCACCCACTGTCACCTGCACTGAACCACACCCACATCGCGCACCCCCTTCCACCTGACTCCACCCTGTCGGACTGAAACCCCATCCCACCAAACCGAAATCCCACCTCATCTCGAAACCCACCACATCGAACCAAAACCCCACCGCACCGGACCTAAATCCCAACCGAAACCCGCCGCATCCGGCAAATACCCTACTTCACCTCGAAGCAAGAAAGCCGGTATTCAATTTTTATTGCAATAATAACATCATCAAATGCATTTCAGAAAGAAGAAAAAAACGAGGAGAGATAAAAAAAAAATGGGTTCAAGTATAAATAATAGTGGAAGTAGCTAGAAAATATGATTTATCATTAAAAGTTTTTGTTAATCAGTGATTATGGAGTTGGCAAAAGTAGTTTGCTTGTTAGTTTCATTTCTAATTCCACTCATGATCCGGCAAAAGTGAGTAAGGATGCTCCTGCAAGGGTCGGTGGGCAGTGGTGGTGCTAGTTTAGAAGGGAGGATCAAGAAGAGGGAAGGGGATAGTCGGATAGGAACAGGAAAGCGAAGATAAGGGGCTGACTTTTTTTTTTTTTTTTATTTATTAAAAAAATAAAATTAGGCCAAGTAGAAATTGCCATGTGGTAAGTGTTTCGGGGTTTTCTGTGTCCCTCGGGAGAGTTACAATTCCAAGACTAGATTCCGGGCACCTGTACCTACAAAACAACAGAGACTCCGGCTGGGTGGAGTTCCGCCTCCGACGATCAAGTTAGAACGTGTTCGGATGATGTAAAAAGCGCGGAAAGTAAAGTATCTTCTCGGATTCCGAGATCAGGAGTAAATATCAATGATTGCTCTGTTTTTTGTGAATATTTCTAAATGTGCTCCTAAGTGGGAATATCTCCTATTTATAAGGTCTTGGAATTTGTTACAGAAACCTAGGAATAGTGGACTGTCTCGGGAATTGAGCCTTGAAGGCCGCCTTTTTCCCAATCATTGGAGATGCCACGTGTCAACGGATGAGAGGTTCATTTTGAACCTCTCTAAGGGTGACACGTGTCACCACTTTATTGGGCCACATAGCCTTTGGTATTTTTACCCAAATCATTTGCCCCTCACAGGTGTGACGTGGCGTGCCACGTGGGTGGCTGACGAGTGAACAAGGTTTTTTTTTTTTTTTTTACACGGTTCACCGTCTGGGGAAATTATAAGGGTGCCCCTATTTCCATCCCCTCTTTAAGTAAGATTTCCCCCCCTCTCCTTCCTCATTTTTGCATCTTGGAAAAATTTTAAAGAGAGGGAAAGAGAAGACTTAGGAAAAGCTCTTATATCGCCTGCACTTGCTTTCATAAAATTCTCTGCTAACACATGTCGGCTGTGTAGCCTTTGCCCAAGATACATCAAAACTGTCTGGGTATATTCCAGCAAATTCGCTTGTTTTCAAAGTACCTACAGCCGGTCATCCGCCTGTGGACTCAACAACCAGAGCCTCGAGGAACCGCCTGTGTTCCAGCAACTTCGCTTACTTTCCAAGTGGGTACATTCGGTCAACCGTCTGTACCTCTCAAGCAGCTGACTAATTTCCGCCTACCTAGTCAGCGCTTTTCTTCACTCAGAAGCATCTTCGGGGTACCGTCTCTACCCTTCGCAACTCTTACGAGCTTTTACCGTCTGTATATGGATTCACCCACACACACACGGCACAATCTAGGACAGTGGTCAACCGATCTCCTGGTATGGCTGAGTCTAGGACAGGGGGTGCCGCCTGGGGGTGTTTGGACCACCCTTACTCTTCCTCGAATCCGACCGTCTCTGTGCATGTGCAGGACAATATGGCTCGGATGAAGCGAACGACCATTGACCCAGATTATAGATCAAATGGCTCAGCTGAGACGCCGGCTGACATAGAGTATGACTATATTCCGGGTGCACCTAGCACTCCAAGTGACGGTATCTTAGAAGACTCTGACCAAGGAGACGGCGCTGAGGCCGTCCAACGATCCGGCAAAGAGGAGTCGACCTCACATCAGACGGATGATGTCAGTGAGGAGGATGAGGCGTATAATTGGCCGTCTATAACCGACCCAACTAAGGCGCGCATGTTCGCCAGAGATATTGTCACCCTAGCAACCACCTTTCCTTCCTTTATGGAAAGATGCCCAGTAGGGGAAACATGGGAAGTAATTATGCCACTTGCTGAGGCGACAATCGTCTAGGATGAAAAAGAGCCGGCTCTCTTGGGGAAAAAGTGTGTCCTTCCGCGTGTCCCGAAGGAGGCTTGAGCACAAATAATGGAGCCGGAATTTTTCAAGAGGACCACCATGCCTCCGGATGATGGAACTGAAATAATTGTACCAAAGAATTGGGTACCCCATCATGACTGGCTTAAGGATGAAGCTTTCCTCTCCGCTTGTGGCTTAAGTACCCTTTTTGATAGACGTACGTAAACCACTTAACCAGCACTTTTGTGCCGCCTCTATTATTCTGTGTTGTATTGTATTTAACCAACCGATTTTCCTTTTGCAAAAAAAGGTCTAGAAATGGTTCCGCCTGAGAAGACGCCGGCTAGGTCAGCAGCCAGATCCGGAAGGATCAATTGGAAAAGAAAAGGGCCCAACTGGCGGCCAAGGATGATGGGGTAAGCACCGGTTTTATCCTTTAACTTGTAAAAATTTTGCCTCAAAAGC